CAACGGGGAAGGGGATGCTGCCCTCTTTCCAATCCAGGGTAAGCTCCCCCATCATGTTTTTAACTCCCCATTCTCATGTTGGGGGCACCCCCAACAAATTGGTGATGTATTTTTTAACTTGGAATTGAGCCAGTGGCAGGGTTTGGGATAGGGGGTAGAGTCACAGCAGTCCCCTGAATATTCTTGAAACATAAATTTATGTGTGGGGACCAAAATGGGGGTGACACTGACTCCCCAAAACCCAGGTGGAAGGGATAAAGGGATCCCAGTTCTTCAATGCAGGCTGTCAGTCCCCCACCCTTCCCCCTCCACCCTTCCTCTCCCGAAAGGTCCCAATTAAGTCAGGCCCGCCTGGTTGGTAATTAGAACCAGAAGTGGCCAGGCCACAGGGAGGGGGACTGGGAGGAGGGCACAACAGGAGTGGGGGAGGAGGGTTCCAGAAAGCCCCAAACCCTCACCAGCCCCCCTCTTCCCAACACCAGATGCTCCCCATTCCACATCACCCTTTCAGAGTTCCTTCCCTGCCTTCCTAAGAAAGGGGGTCCCAGGAGGGGAGGGGCACTAGGGCACTCTGCCTAGTCTCACCCCCTTCACAGCCTTGGGGAAAGGTGTGACGGAGAAAGGGGTAGGGAGCTGCTCAACTCCCCCCTTACCCCCAATGTTCCCCCTGCCCTTATTGCAGCAATTAGGCCCATTACTCTTCTAGCATTTCATGAAAACCAGATGTTCTCCACCAGCCTGGGGGGGGGATGGGGGCACACTGCCTGACTCACCCCTCTTCTTGTGCCCCTTCCTCCTCACAAGCCTCCCAATGGCACACACACACACACACACACACACACACACATAAACACATACACACACAGACACACACACACACATACGAGAAGGGGAACAGGGTATCTGCTCCCCTCCCCCCAAAAGGAAAGTGACCATCCAGGCCATAATTTCTATGGGTCTTGAATGGTCTTACCCTCATCATTGCCCTTCCCCCAACACTACTCCTGGCACAGATGGATTCTAGCTGACATGCAGTCGGGAGGAAAAGGGGAGAGAAAACTTTCTTTATCCCTCACCCCCCAATCTTCACTCCAGATCAACTGTTTCTCTTTTCCAGTTTATTGGGGGGGGGTCTTCTAGGGCAAAGTGGGCACGGCCTCAGGGAAGAAGACCTGGGTTTTGGAGCAGCCCCTGATGGGAGGATGGCCCAAGGCAATGGGAGGGGTCTCCGGAGCTCGGGGAGGTGGGACTAAGGGGTGGGGAGCCTTGGACTGGGATAGGGGCCTTCCATGGTAAGGATTGGATAGAGGGGGGCCAGGGAGAGGCTGGAGGGGGGGGTGCAGACTGGGCCCCAAAGGCGGCAGCTTGCCCAGCTCCCCCCGCCGAAGAGGTTTCCTGTTGCAATCAAAGCCCCGTTTGTGTCGGCCTGGAGCTGGAGCCGAAGGAGGAGAGAGAGCAGGGAAGGGGAGGGAAGGAAAGGAGGCGGTAGTCTGGGGTTTTTTCCTTGAGGCCGCCTGCCCAGTGCCCTCACCCTCCTGTTTGCACTCTCTGCCTCTGTATCTGAGTCTCTATCTCCCTTTGTCTCTGTCTTTCCTGACTCTATCATCCTGGTTGTCTCTCTGCCCCAGGATTTCCCTTTGTTTATGTCTCTCTACCCATCCCTCTGATTGCTTCCCTTCTCCTTTTATTCTCACTTCTGTTTTCTGTGTGTGTCTTATGTGCCCCTTCACCTGACCCCATAGAGCTGGGCAGGGCACTGAGACATCCCTAGCTGTGAAATGAAATCCCCAGATCCTAACAACTCAGCTACCCCCACCCCCCAGCAGGAGAAAGACCTTTGGAGAACCTTTCCCACCCACTACACTCTGCCCCCCTGTCCTGGGTTAACATTAGTGCAATACTGATACATTCTCAACATTCAGAAATTCACTCACCCTCAGTCACAAACCCCTAGATTCTCACAGCGAAATACGTCTGTGGACACACACATCCATGAAGTCCTCCCTGTCTTCACATGCACACAAGCTTCTACATGCCTCAGCCTAGCACGTGCTCCCCCAACCTCCCCCAACCTTGGCTCCCTTAGACTCATCTCACCCATTTAAACCCAACAGTGGGCCCCTAGCTAGTACAGCAGAACCTCAACGACCAAAAGGGGGGTTCTGAAAGGGGCTAAGGATCTGGGCTTCTGAGAAAGTGTGAACACCATCAGATCTGGGCAGCTGTGAGATAATGCCCCTTCCACGCCAATCTTTGATCTTTGTCTCTCAAAAGGACTGGGAATAGAGGAAAAGGAAGCCAGAGATTGGTACATGGGACAAAATATGGAAGGGGAGGTAGGAGGGGGGAGGTGGAGAGATCTGGGGTCTAAAGGGAAGAGGGAACCCTCAGCACTGCCCAGGGCTTCCCTAGGAAAGCACATGGTTCCTCTTCTCTCCTTTTGTTTCCCTCTTTGCTCCCACCACTATAGCTTTCCCATGCATCTCCCCCACCCAAGTTGTCTGAGGCCCAGGCTTTCCCACCCCCAACCACCACAGCTCTGCCCAGGCCTGTCCCCAGCAGCCACACCCTCCCCAACTCTCCCCAGCTCCCAGAGCCTCCTCCAGAACCTGCTTCTCTGCCCCGAGCTTCAGGGCTGCCTTTGGAAAGGGGGCCCATGCTGGTCCCTGACCCCTTCTCCAACCTTAACCCCACCTTGAACCCTAAACCCTGACTTGTAACAGCAATATGACCAGAGATTGGGTCACAGGGTTATGGAATGGGAACTTGGGTTGTAACCCAGGATTCCTGGCTCCCAGATCTCTGGACTGTCTCCCTAGAATAAGGGTTCTTAACCTGGTATCATGAACCTTTTTTTTAATATGTTTTGATAACTATTTCAATATAATGGTTTTCTTTTATAATACCATCTTTTATTTTATACATATAAAAGCCTTATTCTGATAAGTCCATAGGTTTCACCAGATTGCCAAAGGGTTCCATGACAAGAATCCCTGCTCTAGAATCTCGCAGTCCCATACCTACCTGTCTCTCTTGCCCATCTACATCATCCCACTCCCTACCAAAGAGTTTATTTTCCAGCTCTTAAGCTCCACGTTTGCTTCTCCTAAGATACAGACACCTTATTCCTAGGAAGAATGGGATTCAAAGTCCTCATGATTTTACAATAAGTATGGTGACAGAGCAGGGGTCTTGGCCTTCACAATCCAGAGCCCTAAAATCTTGTTAGAGATAGAAAGGGGGCACAGAGAGGTCTACTGGGCCCCTGACAAAGAGGATACATTGTTTTTTCTCATGCACCTGCATGCCATCCACATATTTTCACCATTTTTTAGGCATACCTAATCCATCAGACCCATAGCCAACTGGCTCGTCACAAACCTCCTAGCTCACCCTCTACCCCCGCTTGTCCTTTTTGTGGACGAACAATACATATGAATGTCCATGTATGCATGTAACCCACACACGGGCACACAAACTCATACACACACACACACACACACACACACACACACACACACACACACAAAATGTCTGCTCTCTCCAGATGAGCTCACTCTTTCCAGTACAGTTGCCAGCCTGGCCTAGTTACCCCTTTCCCTCCTTCCCCCCACCATACACACATACACACCACTCTCAGTGGCCCCTCCTCAAACACAGGGCTCCCCTCTCTCCCTCACCCCCTCCCACTATGTCTTCATTTCTCTATCCAGGATTCTCTGACTCTATCTCTGTCTCCGTCCCTCTCTTCATTGCTCTGCTTTTCCCTCCCTTTACTGTCTCTCTTCTTTCTAGTCTGGTGTGGGGTCTCCCTCTCTGTCTCACCTGCCCATTGTGCCTCTCTATAACCCCATTCCACCCTGATCCTAGCTCCTAGGACCCTAGGCATACCTGCCTAGGAGAGGGTGAGGGGAAGAGGTCACAGGTAGAAGGGGCTGGAATGTATGTGTGTTTAGGGTCAGTGGGGGGAATGGGAGAGGACCAGATGACTGTCAGAACCCAAGGATTTCATTCAAAGTGGGTAGGGTAGGGGGGCATGTTGGGATCTGCACTGCACACAGGCATTGTGCCAGGCCCCAGAGGAGGGAAGGGGCACAAGTCCCACAAAGAAGGGAGGGAAGACAATCTGAGGACACCACCCCCCTATCTGGGGCCCCACCTCTCCTGTTTAAATATAAAGTTCTCTTATAGGATTGCCTCCACCCTATCCTAGAGCCTGGAAGGATGAATTCATCCACCTTCAGAGTCTCAATCCTGGGTCTCCTTTTTCCCATTTTGGCTTGTTTAAGGGCCTACTTTCCTGAAGCACAGAATGAACCCATTAACCCAGAAAACGATTACCACTCCCCAGACTGGCTTCCTAGCCCCCTCTGCCGCCATTGACTCCCAGACTCCTTTTTGGTGATAGGATGCTAGACCTTGAGTCAGGAAGATGTGGGTTCCAATCTCGACTCAAGACACCTACTAGTGGCATGACTCTGGGGCAAGTCTACAAACCTCAATTTTCTTATCTGTAAAATGGCAATAACAATAGTACCTACTGCACAGAGTTCACTGGGAGGAGCAAATGAGATAATGCTTATATAACGCTTTGCAAACCTTTGTTTGCCATATAAATGTGTCAAGTATTATTATTCAGCAACAAATAAGTGCCCGTGACTTGACTTCTCAGGCTCCAGGAGGACAGCCTCTCAAACCCCCAGTTCTTCCTCTTCTGCTTTTCCCAACCTATTTGCATGCAAGAGCCCTCTTCATTATAACTACTTCCACATGACCCAGATCCACATCACACACCCCCCAAACACTCTATCAGAACAGTTTTTTTCAGTACCCCAGGTTCTCAGACCTAACTCTCCCACCTGGGGGCCCAAGAACCTTGGTAACCATCTCCCCACTCTGTGTAAGTCTGCCTCAATTGGACACCCCATATCTGACAACCCTCCAATCTCCCTGTTGTGTCCCCTTCCCCTCCCTTTTCCCTTATAGCCCCTGAGACTCACACAGAGAGGCCATCTCCTTGGGGAGGTCAGGCTGGCCCAGGCCCCGGAAGCCAGGACTCAGCATCTCAAAGGGTGGGGATCCCCGGAGTCCCCCAGAGAAGGTGAAAGGGAAGCTTGTCGTCCCAGGGAAACCAGCCCCAGGTCCCAGGGCACTGGGGACAAACAGACGATCCTTATTGGCAGCCATGGCGGTGGCATGGGTGGCTGAGCCCTCTAGGGTCTGCAATGGGCGGGGGGGACCCTCAGCCACACCCCCCGCCCATGCCCGACGCCTGGGCCCGGGAGGCTCCGTGCCCACCCTGTCCAGCCCGACCACCAGGGCTCCAAGGGTCCTGGAGTGGAAAAGAAGAGAAAAGGTCAGATGGGGGGTGATCACCTTTTGATTGTAAATACCCTTTTGGTGCCTCACTCACAGGGCAGCCACTTTCCCAATTTGCAGCTACTAGTAAAGAGCCCTTGGAAATTTAGGGGAAACACAGAAAGGGCCTTGTGTTGGGGCTTAGAGACACCCTCTAGATCCACTCCTGGGGAAAACAGACTGGGGACCTGGGGCTATTGTCTGTCCTAAGTAGGTGAAAGAGATGAGGCTGGGGAAGGAGGGAGGTGAAGGGTCAGGCCTCAGGACATATGAGTTGGGGATAATAATGGAGGAGGATAAGTCTATCTCTATTTTGAAGCCCAAGCCGTCTCTATTTCTCAGACCCCTTTGTGTTTCCTTATCTCTTTATTAATCTGTGTACATTTCACACTCAAATCATCCTCAGCTACCCTTCTGGCACACTTGCCCAAATCCCCTTTTCTTAAATTCTTACACCTTTTCTCCCAATTTTCCTTCCCCCTTCTTTTAACTCTCTCTCCTCTCCCTTTCCCTCTCTCCTCTAACTCCCTTCCCCCTCTAAATTCCCTCAACTTCTTCCCCAACTCTCCATTTTCTCCCCTTTCACTTTCCCCCAAATGCCTCTTTCTATCTCCTTCCTTCCTTTTCTCCCTTTGCTTCCATTTCTAAGTCTTTCCTAGGCTCTCCCTCTCTTCCTGCAGCCTCTGGTCACTTTGGCTGGGGAGTGGGAGGCCTATTCGCAGAGCCCAGGGTATCCCCTCCTAGGAGTGTGAAGTGGGAGGGGATGGAGAGAGACAGACACAAAAGAGGGAAAATAGAGAATGGGAGAAAGAGACAGAGGTGGGAAGGGTTCCTGCATCTCTCTCTTTTCATTGCAGCATCTATTTGTGGGACCACAATGATCTCTCAGTCTTCATATTTATTATTTTCTGTTTGTTTCTCTTACTATCTCTCATCTCTGGGCATCTGCTTGTCCTGTATTTTTACAACCCTTAGTTTATCTGTCTTCTACCTCTGCTTCCGTCTCTTAACTCTGTGTGTGCATGTATCTATCTCTCCTCTGTGTCAGGGACTCTAGCCCCCAGTAATGTATCTTTCCATTCTGGTCCTCAAACCTGGTCATGGACACCCCCTACCACACTCATGTTGCACCACACCCATATACCCAGAAGTCTGACCTTCCAACCTCAGGGGCCCCATCTCTCTTCCTTTCCCCTTCTCCTTGCACTCGTTATCCCAGGTGGAGCCAGGAGTCCTGGCTCCCAGAGGCCCCTGGGCCACAGCCCAACAGGCTGGGCTACATTCCAACTGTATTAACCCCTTTGATGCCAAGTGTAAGAAGAAAGAGGCTCTCCCCCTTACCCCTCCCTGTCCCTAGTTTAGACTTGAAGCCAAGATGCCCAGGGTCTCCTAGGCTGGTTTCATTCCTTCCCCCTCACATATGAGATTCTAGACAGTGGTCAAAAGAGAAGGGACCCTGGAATGGGAGACAGGAAGGTAGAAACCCAGACCTAGGTGTTCAAATATTTGGGTCTCCCTAGAAAATGGGGTTTGTAGACGAAGCAATAGGAGCTGCCTGCCCCTCATCTCCCTAGACATTGAAATGGTCATGGGGGACAGGGCTAGGAAAGGCCTATGTCTCATCTCTGGAGCTTAGTTTCTCTTTCATTCATTGCAGATGGGAACCTCAGGTCCAAGGTGGCGTGGGGGGACTTTGGGGTTGCAGGAAAGGGGTGGCACAGGGAGTAAAGAGAAGCATTGAGTTGGATATGAGACACCTGGGTTTCCCTGGGGAGCTGTCTGGAAAGAAATATTTTTCACCCCTCTACCCCACCATCTCACCCCAGAGAGTGAGCCCAGTTGAGGGGTGGGCTGCTTTACAAAGCAGCTTCTCTTATAAGTGAGGGGGGGTGGGCGTGGGCAGGGATGGAGGGCGGATGGGAAGGGGGGACATGTCTCTCTGCCCAGTCCAGCTAAGCTTGTGGAACAAAGAGGCTCTTGTGACTACTCTCCCCCCTCCCCTTCTTCACCCCCCCTGAATAAACACGACCACCTTTTTCCATGACCCCATCCACAATCCCAGTGGAAGGATTCAGGCATCCTTAGGCCTCCTGCCTAGGCCCCCTGGCTGCTGCAGAGGGTATGGGGGTGTTTCCTTTGGCCCCTTGCCAACCTCAGAGGAGCTCAGACCCCAGGGTCCCACCCACTCCCATCCCCAGGTGTCTTCCTTACACTAAACTGGCCCCAGGAAAGGGCAGTGCCCAGAGGAGAAGGCAGGCAATGCCAGTGGAATGTGTGTGGGCATCGGAGGGCACGGGCAGGGTGGGGCAGGGGGAAACTGGAGGTGCCAGTTAGGTGGCTTTGTGAGCCAGGGGGGGATGTGCCAGGGGGGGGATAGAAGGGGGCGTGCCCACCACTCCCTACCAGAGCCCTGAGCTATGGTGTATGAAGGGGGGAAGGGGTGTTGTTTGGGAGGTTATCCCCGCTCCCTTCTCCTGACAAGGAGGGGGCACAAGCTACATTTCCTTAATACTGCCCTCTCTTCACCTCCCTCTAAAATGTGGGCACAGGTGAGGTTTCCTCACCTCAAAAGTCCTATGTCCCTCCCCAGAAGTTAATCTATGGCTGGAAAGGAGCAATCCTTCTGGACTCGGGGAGTGAGACTCCAGCTACCCTGGACATCAGACTAGGTACTGGATCCAGCTATTCCGACTTTCTGTCCTACCCCTCTTTCCCCCATTCTTATCCCCTGATCCTCCTCCCCATTCAAACAGACAGCGCACACTTACCCTTTGGCTGCCTGAAACACTCCTTCCTACATACTGGGCAAGGCTGAAAGGATTAGACTGTGACTGCTAGGAATAAAGAAGCAAAAGTCAGTAAGTAGGGCTGGAGAAATAGGACTCTGGAGTCTTTTACCTAAGTCTTCCAGCCTTTCTCAGTCCCATCTGGACTTTCAGCCTGAAGGACCCAGAAGAAACTCTTTCAACCTAACCAGTTGAGGGGGGGGTGGAGGGGTGGGGGGGTATGAAGTACAGACTTAGACCCTCTTATGGAAATGGGGGGAAAATGGAATCCTTAGACCCAGGAGTCCCGGTCCCCTAACACTCAGGCTCCCCCACTTCTCTCCAACTCCCACCCTACTCCACTCTGGTCTTGTCACTGTCTCTTAAATCTCTGCCCCTCATATCCCTCCATCCAGTGTTAAAGGGGAGGAGAACCTCTCTGACTAAAATGACCATTTCCCCAGCTGCTCCAGGGCTGGAGCTCAGCACCCCCTCCCTGGTTTTTAGGGGGAGAGAACAAAGCCCACAATCATTCTCCATACAATCCCTCTTCTAAATAACTCCCTGCTTCCAGTACCCCCAAGGGGAAAGGGGGGAAGGTCATAATCTGCCCCAAGGTCTTCTGGTCGCCCCTTCCACTCCAAGTTCTGGGAGAGGGTAAGATAAAGCTTCCCCACCATGAAGATTCCCCAACCCTATAGATTCTCCTCCCATCCCAGAGTTCACCCTCTCACAGCACCGATATGCCCTCCTTGGGTGGTGAGCCCTCAAAAGGCAGGGAAGATTTTCTCCCTCAAGCACCCGAGAGGTAGCCTTCCCAGACCACTGCTCCCCCGGGCGCCCCCCTCCCCCCCATTGTAGGACCCAGGCATCTCAGCCCCCTTTTCCTTCTGACTCACCTGGAGGGGGAGGGAGAAGGGGAATCCTCGAAGCCTGGAGGTCCCAGAATTGGACGCTCTTGGTGATGGGCAGGCGCTAGAATAGGGGTTCGCGGTCACGGGGGGGATATTGGGGGGGCCCACAGGCTCTAGACTAGGACTGTCCTGGGGCCTCTTGGAGCCTGCCCGCCCACGTGACCGCCCCAAAATATCCGACACATTTTCTCCCAAACCGCACACTGACTCCGCAGGCGGGGACACGGAAAATATTTTCTTTCTTTTTCTCCCTCCCTCCCCCCTCCCCTCCCTCCCTTCCTTGCCCTGCCCCCCTCTCCCCCTCCTGCTCTCGCTCCTCCCTCCCCGGACGGCTGCCCGGGCCCAGCTCCCTCCCTGGTGCCCTGGGGCTGGGGAGAAGGGGGGAGCTGGGGAGAAGGGGGGGGCGGGGCAGCCGGGGACGCCTGTGTCTCTGCCCCTCCCTTTCTCTTGGCCTTTGTTGCTCCGTCCCGGGGGAGAATAGGCATGGCTTAGGGGCAGAGAAGGTCAGTGTCTGGGGTGCCAGGATGCCAGCCCCCTTTCCGAGTTTTGCTTTATCCTACTTCTCTGTTTTTAGGGGATGGGGTGGGGCAGGGATAGTTTAGCTTGGCTGGTTACTGTCCGGTTATCCATCATACCAACCTCTTTTGCTCACTGTGTGTCATTAATGTAGGGGGAGGCGATGGCTACTACACACCCCCAAACATTGGGGGAATGGCAGTGACAGGGTCATGCCAGCGTTCAATTACATATGTACACACACACTTCTACCTTTGCTTTCCCCATTAGATCAGAGGTTCCTTCTCCACCCTTCCCTTCTTCTAATTAGATTCAATTTCAAAGAACATTTTTTAAGCGCCTGCTATGTGCTAGGCTATGTGCTAAGAGCTAGGGATAAAAGAAGAGGCAAAAGACAGTCTCTGCCCTCAAAGAGCTTACAATCTATTGGGGGGGGAACAAATATCCCAGTCAGACTTTTTTTTGACTTAAGGGGCAAACTGGTTTGGCTGGTGAGGATGTGTAGGGGGATGTTGGAGCCTTAGCATGAAGACCCCTTTCCCCTTTCCCTCAAAAGAATGACCTCTGGGAGGCAGGGCGCCTGAGTCCCTTGTTCGCTTGTATGTTCCTCTCCTCCTCCAGTGTTGGATCTGAAAAAAAAAGAATGGGGGGTAGGAAGCGGGCGAGGGAGGCACCAGGGCACTGGGCTAGTGGGTGGGATGTGGGAGGAGTGTCGGGTGTGAGAAAGACTGGCCAGAGTTTAGGAGTATTGAGGGTGTCTCTGCGTGTATGCGCTCAGCATACAATGTGTGTTCCATAAATGTTACTGACTGTGAGTGGGTGTGTCTGTCACTGTCTGATGGCATTTGTAAGTGTGTCTGTGTGTCTAAGTCCATCGCAATCACACACTAAATTTCCAGTAGTGTGACAAAGGAGGTTTGCCCCATTTCAGACCCAGTTACTGGATTTGGGGGAAGGGGAAGGTAAGGGGAAAACATTGAGGGAGGAGCCTAAAGAAGGGGTGGGATTCTGGGAGTTTAGGCCCCGCCTTGAGTCCCCTCTCTCCAATCATCCACCTCTTGAAGGGGGAGCGCTAAGAAAAGGGGAGGCTTCACTGGATGGTTGTGGAAACTGGTCTGGGGGACGCTGCCCGAAGGAATTTGTTCCCTCTCCCACTAATTACTCTCTAGGGTCCTATAGGTACTCGATAGGAGACTTTGGAGAGTCAGGGACTAGGACTCCTGGGTACCATCACATTTTCCATTTCGGATTCACTCCTTGGTTCTCGGTCGTTGGGCTGCTAGTGATTGTTGAAGTAATGTGAAGGAGAGGGGCTCTTTCTCAGTCCCGGGAGAACGAGACGCTGGAGGCTAGGATAACTACGTCTTCTCTCGGTCCGTGGGGCGGGGAGGAGCTAGGAATCAGTACTCCCGGGGCCCAGTCCCCGGAGCGGCCACGGCTGCTGTTGACATTACTCGGTTACTCTGGGAGCCACGCTGGAGCGGGGAGGGGCTCTCAGAGAAGTTGGACCTAAGCATCCTGGCTAGGAGTTGGACCCAGGCGTCCTGGCTAGGGATATGGTGAAGCCCCCGCGTATGTCCTGGGGGGAGAGGGCTTCTCTACACAATTAACTCTTTCTGCCCAGTATAGTTTGGAGAGGGGGGCAGAGAACAGAAGGGTGGGACCCAGCTGCGGTTTGGAAAAGCGGTCTAGATCCGCTTCCCTGGCACATCTGTACTTGGTTTACAGTGAATGAGTCTCCTGTTCTGAGCCGGGCGGGGACACCGTTACCTCTCCCCTCCTTTTCCCGGGCATCCCCACACAAACCCAGGCACCACATCCCAGGATCTCCTCCCTAGGCATCACCTTCGGGCCAGCTCACCACCGGAGAACCACAAGCCCTCCCTTCTCTTTACCAGGAGGAACCTTAGGGCAGAACAAGCCTTGTTCCAAAAGGAGGGCAGCAGGAATGGGAAGACCACGATGGAGAGAAAGGGAAAGGGACAAACGACCGGGGTGGGGGCAGGGACAGGAGGAAGCTAAAAGAGAGGGGACTGCAGAGGCAACTACAGTCTGCGTGTCACCGTTTGGACTCTAGATTTAATTACTTCCTAAGGGTCTCCTCCATCTCTAGTTAGTCCGAGCAGCCCCTGGCTTTGACAATCCTGCTCTATCTAGGCTCCTTCTCTAGGGATACATACACACGCACCACTCCCACCTTGCTTGGGAGTGCCCAACAACGGGGGTCTGTGTAGCGCTGGCCTGAAGTCAAAGCAAACAGAGCCAGTTGGGGGCTGGAAGAGAAGGAGAGGGGGAAGAGAGGAATGAGGCACAAAACTTAGAGCTGCCTTTCACCCTATTGGTCCCGGGAGGCTGGAAGCCAGAATTTCTGGTTCACCGGCTTGGTTATTCACGAGGGAGAGTTAATGAGAGACCCTGAATGACACAGCTCTCTGCCTCCCCTTCCCCTTTCTCTCTTCCTCCAACACTCTTTTCAAGTCTAGCCCTTCTACTTGAGGTCGTGGTAAACTCGTTCAATGATGCAGTTTGACATAATGACGTCATGGGGGACTCCTCTGGCTGCCTCAGTTTAGTAGTTAGCCTCCTGTTCCTGCTCCCCAGATTTAACCTACTCCCATTCTGAAGTGCAGAGAAAGAGGCAGAGTCTAGGTGTTCAACTCATTCAGTCTTTCTTTACTATATAAGCAAAAATTTTGCTTCCTATCTCAAGGGCAAAGAAGGGAACCCCAGACCTTGAACAGTGAGTAGGAGGAGGAAAGGGGTAGGGCTGGGAAGCTTAGGATAGAAAAGAAAGGGGAAGAATAAATGACTACCAGGGAAGCAATGTGTTTGAGACACAGAACACCTTGAAGTACCCCCCACCAAGAACACCTCGGCTCCTCAACCGGTGCCATTTGACTGGCATTACTGAAGCACCCTCTATTCAGGACATTTTCAGTGCTCCCTTGGTAAAGGTAAAGGCAGTTGACAGCTTGGGGGAATAGGGAGATGCACATAAGGCTGGAACTCTGCCAAGGTCTCTGAGGGAATCATTAGGGCACTGAAGCCCATAGGGGAAAGAGCACCAGGGAAGAGTTAGAGGAAAACATGTTTTGTACAATATAGCCCTGCCTCCCTGGTCTGCTCTCAGCGCCAAGGCTTGTGCCAGACTTAGGGGCCTCCTTGTTCACTCTTTGCCAACTTGCTGATCTTCCTTCTGCCAGCTCCCCCCTCCACAACCAGGAGGTACATCTATATATATATGATAGGGGAAAAGTCACAAACCCTCAGGGATGTCTTGTGATAACATCACTTACCCACCCTTCTTCCCTTCACAGTTCACTAGACTATGAGCTCCTTGAAAGCAGAAACTATTCTATGACTTTCTTTGTATCCTTAGCTCTTAGTCTGGTGGTGCCTAGCACATAGTAGGTGCTTAATGTTTATTTGTTTGCCTAGTTCCTGCACTCCAGGTCCTATCCCAGGCTATGTTTAGAGCATTTTTCTCCATCTGGTTACTAGAGGGACAGCTGGCCTTGAGCTCAGGAGGTATCCTTCATAGCTGGTGGAGAGGGGTGTCTACCTCCCTGTTCCCCATGTCCAAGTTTAATTTTCAGCTCCAAAGGGGCTAGTGAGCACCCTCTAGTGGCCAGAGCAAGTGGTTGGGAGACTTGGATGCCTGGGTCCTGTCCTTGACCCTGTCCTGGTATGAATCTTTTCTTCCTCACACTCCACTTCCCAAGATACAGGAAAGGAAAACAGGGGTCCAGAGGGGAAAACCATGGAGTCCCTTGGTATGGAACTAAACAGGATTACTAACTTTCAGCCTGCAAGTCCCCTCTGGATCAGGTCATCTCCTTCTGTCCAGGTGGAGCCCCTATCAAGCAGAAAAGTGTTCTCTTCTTTCATAGCCTGCCTCACCCAAAGTTAGATGAGTCCCAACCTGTCTTTTACATGCTGCATCTTCAATGAGAGTGTAAAGCCATGTCTTTAACTGTTTGTGGCTCTTTGTCTGAAAGTTTGTGTTCTAGGTATGCTCGTGTGTGTGTGTGTGTGTGTGTGTGTGTGTGTGTGTGTGTGTGTGTATCATCTTTTTATCACATCTAAGTCCTCTTCGGTAGGGTTTAGCCTGCTGAAACACCTCATTTCTTACCATGAGTTACAGAGATATCTATTACTCCACCCTAGCACCTACCTCAAAGGGTTGTTGTGAGATCAAATGAGATAATATTTGTAAAAAGCACACAGCAAAGTGCCTGGCACACCTAGGCACTAAATAAATGCTTATTCCCTTCCCTCCACAACTGAGGTGGGTAGGAAGCTTGGAAGCCAGGGAAGCAGTCGTTCCCTGCCCCCCCCTTCATGTGGAGGGGTGGGGAATAGGGTGGATGTCAAGTTACCTCTCTTCTGTCCACCAGGAAGCAGTTACTTCAGCCTCTGGACACTACTGGGGTCTCTGGAGAGAATAGAGGGGGCTTATTTGAAACATTTTTCAGAGGGGAGCACTAAAAGTTCAGAAATGTTAGAACTGAAAGTGACCCTAGAGATTATCTAGCTCACACCTCACTCGAGGCCCAAAACAATGGCTTGCCTAAGGTCACACAACAATATTGTCCAAGGTCACAACAATTAAATGGCAAGACTTGAACCCACCTCTTCTAATTCCTGATTTAGTGATTTTCCCATTGTAACTTGCTTCCTCCTAAGGCAGGCAGGCTTTCTGCTGACTCTGCTGCTGTAGAACTTGAGAAAGCCATGGGAAGAATAGGGTTAACTCCTAACATGGCTTTGACCCATTTTCTTCCCTATGCCCTACATCCCCCAAGGCCAGAGTGCTGGGTGAGGCCATTGTAGCACCTTCATCCCCACACCCTGGGACTTCCCCGCTCTGGAAACTCCCAGAACTCAGGCATCTTGCTCCCTTTTCTCCTACCCCCCCACTCTCTGAACCTTTTTTTGGCTTCAGTGAGGTCTTCCTTAATCTCCAACAAGGACAAGATCTACTGGTATCCACTTTTCAGTTCTCGGTTTTCTCCTTCGGACTTAGCTCCTTCTCAAAACCACCAAAGGGGTGCCATGTCCCTAACCATGCCTGTCCCTGCCTTCACAGTAGGGAGGGAGGGAACCTAGATGGGGTGCTCTTCCGGGAGCCCCAGGTGTCTGAGGGTTTTAGGGGGAGCAGCTGCTTTGCTTCCCTCAGTCCAGGCCCCTTCTGCAACTTTACCTGTCTAGAGTCAGGGATGAAATGAGAGAGAGAGAGGCGAGATTAACCTAGGGGTCAGGGAGAAGGGCTATCTGGGGGTGAAGAGATGGGCGGAGCTATTCCACTCAGGATCAGCTCAGCTCAGCTTGGCTCAGGACTAATCCTGTCCCACCCTCCTCTCCAGCTTGATCACTCCTCTCCCCCCATGCAACACCCCCATTGTGCTGCTTCTGCTGCTGGATGGACTTCTCTCTGGGCCTGCGCTTGGGGCCTCAGGGCAAGAAGGCTCTCCCTAGACAGTCCCCCACTTCTCCTGCTCACTGTCTCCCTTCCTCCTGTCCCTGTCCCTTCTGTCCACCTCCTGCCTGCCCTTGTTCTCCCTACCCTCTCTTTGTCTGTCCCTGCCCTTCCTGTCCTTCTGCTTGTCTGTGTCCTGCCTGCCCTCTTCTTCCTTGCCCATCCTGTGCCTATCTGCCCTTAGCCTGTTCTCACACCTCCTGCCCTGCTTGCTCTCCCTCCACTTGCCCTGACTTCTGCAGTCTTTGTCCTGCCTGTCCCCATCCTCCCTGCCCCAGCCACCCCTCTACCTGTTCCCATTGCAACCCTGGCCCCCCCTGTCCCTCCTCCAGGGGCCAGGGAACCCGTCCTTGCTCCCACTGTTGTTATGGCAACAGCTGCAGCTGTTATGCTCAGGGTCCCAGCCCCCCTGCCAGCTGCTGCAGCTGTTGTTGCAAGGGTCTCCAGTCCTCAGGGGGTCGTTGTTCAATGGCCTAGGTTGGCTTTTGTTCCCTCGTGGAGTTTGTCATCCTCCCAAAATTCTTCCCACTGCTACTGCGGCTGCTCCTTCTCTAAGGCTCCCGTCCTGGAATCCCCTCAACTGGGGGTGGTCTAGGCAGCAGCTCCCACCTGGAGAGACAGAGAGAGAGTCTTGGCTCTTCCATTGGGCCAACTGGCAACTACCTGGTGGCCCAAGGACTATGGCTTCCTGGGAGTGAGAGATTTATCCCTTCTGAAGTTAGTCCCAGTGGAAGAGTGGTCTCCATTTCTATTCTCATCGGCACGAGAACTTCATCATCTGCAACATCTAGAGGCCAAAAACATTATTTCCCCTAGGTGAATGAGCTTTCTCAACTGTACTAGTCTCTGGGTTCAAATCTTCTTTGTATCTCTCGTTGGAACAAGAGCCTTCTCTTCAGCTAATACAGGTAAGAGAAACTTCCCCCACTCACTCCCATCCAAATCCCCAAGAGCCCTAGAGAAGGGACTAGAACCCTGATCCTCTGGTGTCCGAACTAGTCCATCTCCTAAGATTGGAAAAAGAGGTTCAAGCAGTGATTTTCAGCCCTCTTCCCTCAGATCTCTCTCCCTTCCTAAAGTTCACCTGTGTGTGATATTCTATCGCTGTCTACCACTATCTTTGTGTCTTTCTGATAGTCTCCCTGTCTAGGCATTTCTATATTCAGGTATCTCTGGGGATCTCCCAAGTGCCATGACCTCAATCCCTTACTCCCCTCCCTCCCACTCTGGGTAATCTCATAAGTGATGTTCTTGCCCAGCTGGCCTAAGAGGGGAGTGGAAATCCAGGAGAGGAGAGGGCTACATGGCTCCTTCCAACACTCCTTTCCACCTCATTTTCCCCAATTCTCTTGTTTCCATGTCCCTCTTTCTAACCCTACTCTTGGCCCTAGGGGAAAGCAGACACCATCCCATAAAGAAGTTAGAGTTCAGATCTAATTGTCTAATACTTCTGGAGGGGCCATAGACGAGAGTCTTCTGTCCTTACTCTGTTTCTCTCCCAAACTGTATCTGAGCCATTGTGTATTTGTTTTCCCCTCTCTCCCTGCACTGTGACTCTTCATCTCTATCTCACAGTCTTTCCCTCGGTATATTTTCCCTCTGTCTTTCTGCCTCTCACTCTATCTACGTAACATTCTATCCTTTTCCATCTCTCTGTCTCTCTCCCTCTGCCAGGCTAACTCTCTTCCACTTCCTCTGTCTCAATTTCCTCTCCTTCTGTTTCTACATTTTGGTTTTCTCCGTTTTCACTATCTCAATCATCCATCTCCCTTGTCTTTCCCCTCTTTATCTCAGGTCCCTATCTTCACCTCCATTTTTGCTTTAGTCTGTATTGTGCCTTTGTTCTATGTATTCTTTTCTGTATTTCTTCTTCTCCTCCACCCCTCCACCCATTTTGGGGTCAGTTTTGGTTTATTTCCATTCTTCTTTTTATTTTCCCTTCTGCCTTTGTCTTTTTGTCTCTATCATCCCCTCCATCTTTTTTTCCCTTATCTCTCTCTTCTGCCTGTCTTTACCTTTTTTTCTTTCTCCTTGGGCCCTGCATGTCACTTGAATACCATAAGTGTCTCCTGTTCTGCCAGGACCCTAAAGTCTCATCTGTTTGTGCCATGCTCATTCCAGAAATCTTCCATTAAGGGGAGGGAAGAGGAATGGTCAAAAGAGTTACCAGAATTCCTCCCTAAGCTGAGCCACCAAGATACCCTACCTCAGATACATAACAAAGAGATGAATGGTGCTCCTGTTGAGGGGAATTTGGAGATGTGGGGCTCTCAGCCTTTAACCCCTCTCTTTGGTTAGACTAGTTAGTTTGTAAAAACCCTGGGGTTTCTTCCTAACTATGGTTCAGTCATAGCTCTAAGTAGCCAGCAAGATCCCAAGGAATGGTTTTGTTCTGAATGGGCCAATAATAAACAAAAATAAGACAGATAATTTGTTGTTGTTCAGTCATGTTTGACTCTGTGACCCCATTTGGGTTTTCTTGGCAAAGATACTAGAGTGGTTCGCCATTTCCTTCTCTAGATCATTTTACAGATGAGGAAACTGAGGCAAACAGGTTAAGTGACTTGCCCAGGGTCACACAGCTAGTGAGTGTCTGAGGTTAAATTTGAACTCAGGTCTTCCTGACTACAGGCCCAGTGTTCTACCCACTGTGCCACCTAGCTGCCTAGATAATCATTACAGTCGTAATTTTGCTTATACACCCCCCCCCCAACTAACAGGTGGTTTGACTATTACAATATCCAAAATAAAGAATAGAACGCTCTCCTTCTTTGGGGGAAGGAAGAATCATAGATCATGTTATACCTCCTCTTCTATTTCTATACAGCAATAATCCCATTATGTAGAAGAAAAAACTCAAAAGAAAGAAAAATCTCATTGAGGTAAGGGGAGGTAATGCAAGGTTAGGAGGTAAATGATCCAGAAGGGGTGACCTTGGGGACATCACTGCAGTCCTCAGGGCTTGTCTTTCCAGCTGAAAAATTAGGAGAATTATTACTCCCTATTTTCCAGATGATGAAAGGACCAGTAAGATATTAGAGATGAAGAAGCTTGGATAGAAATTCTAGTTTTTACTGTTGTAGTAGGGAAATCCTATAAAAGACATTTAAGGTAACATTTTAAGGTTTGCAAAGTGTTTTAAGGCACTATTTCAGTTGGTATACAAGGTATTATATTATATTATATTGTTCCTGTTTTACAGATGAGAAAACTGAGGCTCAGATGGATTATGTGACTTACTCATGGCCATGCTAAGTAAGGAAGAGGTGTCTTTTTTTATATAACTATTTTCTTTTTTGTTGTTGTTGGGTTTTTTTAATTCTTTTTTTTTTAATTTGGTTAGGCAATGGGGTTAAGTGACTTTCCCAGGGTCACACAACTAGTAAATGTTATGTGTCAGGAGAAGGTTTCTTGAACCAAGGTTTCTCCTGACTCCAGGTCTAGCATTCTTTCCACACTTGCTCTCTACCCCCAGGGTCTCCATCTGCAGATTCAACCTTCAATGGAGGTCTGATCAAAAGGAATCATGGTGCACATGACTAGATCATAGTGGGATATTAGATGAGACCCCTTTGACAAGCATCTCAACTACCTGGACTATTTCTATGTTCTCCAGCTGCGGTAGAATGTTGTGGTACATGTGAGCATGGAGGCAGACACTGTGGATGTAGTTGGCTTCTCTCAATTCAAATTCCAAGGTGACCTTGGGTAACTCACTTAGAAGCATAAGGTTATAGCCTTAGAGACAATCCATCCTAATCCCTTCATTTTAGAGACAAAGAAACTGAAGCATATGGAATTTAAGTGACTTGCCTAAGGTCACACAGATAGTGTGAAATGAGATTTGAACCCAAGTCCTCAGAGTCAATTTCTTCATGTGCAAAATTAGAGACAGGCTGTATTAAGGGGGCAGCTAAGTGGCACAGTGGATAGAGCTCCAGCCTTGGAATCAGGAGCACCTGAGTTCAAATCTGACCTTAGACACATGATACTCACTAGCTGGGGAAGTCACTTAAACCTGATTTCCTTGGGAAAAAAAAAAAGAGAAAAGAAGTACCAGAAGAAAGGTTGTATTAGTTGATCTCCAATGTCCCTTCCAACTCCATGAAGGACTAAGACTTATCAAAACCCCTTCCTGAAACTCATGGAAATGAAGACAGGCCCAGCCTGATCTTAGGCTCTTCTCAACTCATGGGAGAGATCAAAAGCAGCCCTTTCCAATGCTACTGTGCAGTGTCTCTATTTTCAGAGCTCATTTAGAGCGCATCTAAGCTAAAGCCTTCATTTTACACACAAGGAAACTGAGGCCCAGATGGTAGAAGTGTCATCATTCATCTTAAGGCCATGCTGGCAAAAGCTAGGTGTTGGAGTGGATAGAATAGCTGGAGTAAGGAAGAACCATGTTTAAATCCAGCTTCAGACAGTAATGAACCTCCCAGGCTTGTGGTAAAGATGAAATTTGCAAAGTGCTTTGCAAAACTTAAGGCACAATACAAATGCTAGCTCTCTGATATTAATTCTGTGGATCTGAAGATGATGAGGTTTAGGGGTTTAGGGGTACTGAGACCCCAATATCACAATATGCTGGTGCTGCTCGAAAGAATTCGACCCAAGCCTTCTTTCAGTCAAAGTCAAGGTTTATTAGAACATTCATCATATTGGGCAGACTCTTAAGGAGTCCAAAACCTGGGTAAGCAGTGGCTAGATTATAAGAATCTAAGCATCTTAATGGAGACAAGGTGGACCTTATATACAGAAAGACTGTGGGAGGGACCTAGGAGTGGCCAGTAAGCTGGGGTGAACAGAACTCCTGGGACCTGGACCTCATAGCCAAGGCAGAATGGAGCCTAGCTAGGATCAAGGGTGGGAAATGGCTAGGGGCCATACCTGGGGAGGTAAGACAATGGAGGGGAGATTGGGTATAACCACAACGAAAGGCCAGTTTAGATTATAGCCTCAGGTGACCGCCAAAGATTTGGCCATGCGGGAAAGTCCAGGGCTTTTCCTTTCTGGGGCCCAGATCCCAACCCCATCAGAGAGAGGTCAGAGCTGGAGAGATTGTTTGGGTGCATCTACCTCCCAGAACTGTGGTGAGGATTAAATGATAAAACTTCTGTAAAGTGCCTTTGTAAGCTAGCCATATATAAGAGACAGCAATTATTATTATTGCACCTGATCCTCAAAACAGTCTTATGAGGCAGGTGCTAACATTATTCCCATTTTATAGAGGAGGACACAGAGGCTGAGAGCAATTAAGGGACTTGCCCAGGATCACACAAGTATTTCGGCCTTCAAGCCCAGCGCCGGCCCAGCCTACTGGAGCAAAGGTAAAGTGCTTTGTAAACTTTAAAGGGTTTGTATGTTGGTTACCGGGAGGAGGAGGAGGAAAGGGGAAAGAGAAGAGGAGGGAAGGGCAAGTGTAAGGAGGAGAAGGAAGAAGAGGAGGAGGTAAAGAGAGAAGGTGAGGGGAACGAGGAAGGAAGGAGGGAGAGGGGGGAGGATAGGGGGGGGGAAGGAACAAGAGGATGAGGAAGGGGAAGAATGGAAGGAGAAGGAAGTGGGGGAAGGAGGAAGAGGAAGGGGGAGAGAGGAAGGAGGAGGAGAAAGAAGGTGGAAAGGGAGGGGAAGGAGGAAGGAAAGGGAAGGGAGGAGGGAGAGGAGTAGGGGGAGGGGGAGAAGGAGGGAAAGGGGAAGGGGGTGGCGGCAAAGCCCGGCTTTCTCGGACCCAGGATGCAGCGTCCCGGCCACTCCAGCTCGGCGCCCGCAGGGAGCAGAGAGAGCTGCCCGGCCCGCAGAGGTGAGCCCGGGCCACTTTTCGCCTTCCCAGGCCAGGCGCGCGGGTGCGTGCCAGGGGGGGGGACCAGAAGCGCGGGAGGCAGGAAGGGAGGAGGGGGGGGGGGGGGGGGGGGGGGGGGGGGGGGGGAAGAGGAGGCCCCGCCCTTCTCTCCTCCCTCGTCCCCCTCCTCCGCCGAGGGGAGCCGGGACCTCATCACGTGACAGGGCTGTCATGGCGGGGCCCGCGGCGGCCTCGGGCCAGCAGGGCTCCCGGAAGCGGAGCGAGGGGCGGGGGCTTCAGTTGGAGCAGGAGTGGGGCGGGCGGGAGCCGGACGCGACCGGAGCGTCCCCGCAGACCGGGGCGTCCCCGCAGACCGGGGCAGCAGGTGAGAGCGGGGCAGAGAGCGGCCCAAGCCTGGCCTGGGGAGACGCACGCGCGGGGGGGCGTTCGGGGGGGGGGGAAAGAGGGGAGCTGAAGATGGGGATCCCGGCAGGAGAGCCGGCCGTGGGGTTTGAGCGTGGGGAACGGTGGAGGCTAGGCTGCCCCGGGGAGGAGGTGCGTAGGGGGAAGAAGGCTTCTGGAGAGGGGCTGCAGCCTGGGCGCCCGACAGCAGGGACCCCCTCGGGGGAGGGGGCTAGGATGTCTGCCCCCTCCCCAGTCTCCAAGTGTCCCCAGAGGCAGGACGTCGACCTGACTGGTCCCTCTGGTCTGGGCTTCGGGGGACTGTGGGGAGAATGTCAGGCAAGGGTGTGGAGCTGCCTTCTGCCTGCCCACCCAGGTTCCTGGCAGTGCCACCCGGGCGGCGGGTGTGACCCCGGCCCCCCCTTGCCCTTACGTTTTTCCTTCTTCCCCAGGTCAGCCCGGGGCCCGCCATGCTGGTGACGGCCTACCTCGCCTTGGCCCTTCTGCTGGCTGCCTGCCTGGGGCTGGAGCTGTCAGGATGCAGGGCCAAACCTCTCAGCAGGGCCTGCTGCAACCCTTCTTTCCTTAGATTTCAGCTAGACTTCTACCAGGTCTATTTCCTGGCTCTGGCAGCGGACTGGCTGCAGGCTCCTTACCTCTATAAGCTCTACCAACATTACCACTTCTTGGAGGGCCAGATCGCCATCCTGTATGTCTGCGGCTTGGCCTCCACTGTCCTCTTTGGCCTTGTGGCCTCCTCCCTTGTGGACTGGCTGGGCAGAAAGAAGTCTTGTGTCCTCTTCTCCCTCACCTACTCCTTTTGCTGCATGACCAAGCTCTCCCAGGACTACTTCATACTACTTGTGGGCCGGGCTTTAGGTGGGCTGTCCACAGCCCTGCTCTTTTCAGCTTTTGAGTCATGGTACATCCATGAACATGTTGCACGTCATGATTTCCCACCTGAGTGGATCCCTGCCACCTTTGCCCGGGCTGCTTTTTGGAACCATGCACTGGCTGTAGCAGCTGGTGTGGCAGCTGAGGTTGTGGCCAGCTGGCTAGGGCTTGGACCTGTGGCTCCTTTTGTGGCTGCCATCCCCCTCCTAGCTCTGGCTGGCATCTTGGCCCTATGTAACTGGGGTGAGAACTATGACCGGCAGCGAGCGTTCTTGAGGACCTGTGGAGGGGGTCTTCGATGCCTCCTGTCAGACCGACGGGTGCTGCTGCTAGGTACCATTCAAGCCCTGTTTGAAAGTGTTGTGTTCATCTTTATCTTCCTCTGGACACCTGTGCTAGATCCCCATGGAGCACCACTAGGCATCGTCTTCTCCAGTTTTATGTCAGCCAGCCTGCTAGGCTCTTCCCTATATCGAATAGCAACCTCTAAGAGGTACCACCTACAACCCATGCACTTGCTGTCCCTTGCGGTCCTTATTGTTGTTTTCTCCCTCTTCATGTTGACTTTCTCCACTAGTCCAGGCCAAGAGAGCCCAGTGGAGTCATTTGTTGCCTTCCTGCTCATAGAGCTGGCCTGTGGTTTGTACTTTCCCAGTATGAGCTTCCTACGAAGAAAAGTAATCCCCGAGATGGAACAGGCTGGTGTGCTTAACTGGTTCCGGGTCCCCTTGCACCTGCTGGCCTGCTTAGGGCTCCTTGTTCTCCATGGCAGTGATCGAAAAACAGGTACTCGGAACATGTTTAGCATCTGCTCAGCCGTCATGGTCATGGCCCTACTTGCTGTGGTGGGGCTTTTCACTGTTGTGAGGCATGATGCTGAGTTGAGGGTGACACCACCTGCTGGGGAGCCCTGTGCCCCTGAGCTCTGACCCAGACCTGGGGACAGCCTGAACTCTTGAATCCCACCCCCAGGGGGTGTATATATCTCCCTTTTGCCCTTGTATTGTCATCTCTTTGGCCATGTGGGTTGCATTGGGACAACTTCCCCTGCCAAATGCTCTGGGCAGGGAGGAGGAAAGGAGTGAAATGGACTTGAAAATCAAGGTGCTGAAAAGGGCCCCTGTGTTAGTTCTCATCAAGACAAAAGAACCTGTTTCAAAATAAATTCTTTTGAG